CCCCGTTTTCCAGTTGGATTTGGGGGTATTTTTGGCCGCGGTGGGTCCGGGAGGGATGCTCTGCGGTAAGGTTTGTTGCGGGGAAAATGCCATTAACTCTCGGTGCGTCTCAAAACCAGCAAACCTTCCTGCAAGAGGAGAGAGGAAACCTTGTTTTGATAATGCAGATGGAAAAAAAAAAAAAAAAAAGGCCAAAACCCCAGCCTTGCTCATCAGCTGATGCTAAGGAGGGCGGTTTGGCACCCGCTCAAGGGCTTCTGGGAATATCCCGTGATGCACGGCCGAGCTTGGGTCTGGCAGCAGGACCATGGCTTGGAGATGGAGCTGGGTAAAAGCTGTCTGGCGTGCGATATATCCGTCGTCCGTATATCGCACTCTCAGGGTGGTGCTGCAGGCGTGATAACAGCACAGATCGCCTCCTCCTTGTATTTACCTCCAGGTTGCAAAGCGGAGGGTGAGGATGAGGGCAAGGAATTTCAGTAGCGCGGGGTTCCTGCTACAGCGGAGGAGGTCTTGTGCAAGATGCTGGTTTATGGGTTGGTCTGTGAGAAGAAGAGGAAAAAAAAATAATGTTAAAAATCAGCGCAGCTCCATTTGGGAGGAGTCTTGCGCTTTCTGGGAACGTAAGCTGTAGAGGCGAGCACTGCGACTTGTCTCAAGATGTATTTATTTTGTCAGATAGCTAATCTATGCTAATGACCTGGCTTTTCTGGAAAGGAATGGGTGTGGGGAAGAGTGCCTCATGCTTTTTTTTTAAAAAAAAAAAAGACAAAAAAAATCCAAGCTTTGATAATGCAGTAATGGCTGTAATGAAGTCACCAGGCCATGAGTTTGGTGCAGCCAAGCTAACGCGGCGGCACAGCAAGCTCAGGTGGATTGCCGCAGCAAGCTAAGGAGGATTGCATTGTTTATAGACTTGCTTTATTGTGGCTTAGAGTCATGCACAAATGCTGGCAGGTAGAACAAAGGGCAAAGCTCAGCTTGCTGGAGCAGGACACAGGACCTGGGCTTTGCTGAGAGCCGCTCAGTGTCACCTGGAGGGGTGGGACAGCTTTTATCATCCTCAAAACCTTGAAAAAGGGTGTGTGGGTGCCTCTGTCTGTGCCTGGAGGGGTTTGGCCCAGACGGTGGAGGAGCTGAGAGGTGCTTCAGGGCTGTGACTTATCTCATGGCCTGACCTGCCTAAACTGAGTCATGTGAGCTGGGCTTTGAATAGCCTGGTTTGGGATTTTGGTGGGGTTTTTTTTCCTTTTTTTTTTTTTTTTGACTGTGCAGAGAAATACCCAGCTAAATGGGACTTGTGGGCTTTGATTTCTGGGTGACGTGGAGAAGACCTGCGTGGTGGGACTCCGCAGCAGTGACCTGCCGAGGGATTTGCTGTTGCGGGCGCTGTGCATCTCCCTTGGCTGCTGGACGGAGGCTGTGGGACTCTGCCGATCTCTGGTATAACGTGACCCAAATAGTTGGAGCTCTGTCCCTGAGAAAGCAGGCAGGGGAACTGCCTCTGGCTCCAAGATGTCTTGGTCAGGAGGGATGGAGAAGGCACCTGGGCCATGTCACCTCCTTCCCTCCTCCCTGGGCCATTGCAGGCAGCAGCGAGCCGGGCAGGGGGACTGCGGGGGGATGCTGCAGTGCCAGCCCCACCGTCTCGCTTCGGGTGCTCTCCTCCCTCGCACGCTACAGCTCATGTTGGAGAGCCTTCAGCCTCACTGCTTCCTCCTCGCTGGCTGAGGGCAGGGACAGGCTCAAGGGTTGTAATCAGGTGGCCCAAATTTCCTCTTTTTAAATAACCAGCTGGCTGACTTGTGGAAGTCCTGCCGAGGGTCAGGCGTGCTGGTGGGTAGCAGCTTTCTGGAGTTATTTCTTGCTTATCCTTCAAGAAATTGCATTACCAGATACGTTGGATTCCCAAAGCAGGGGACTTGTCCTCGGTTCCCAGGTCTGCAGCCCAAGAGGAGGTGGAACAGCTTAGGGGGGCTCTTTGCAAGCCCCAAACATCCTCCTGCCATCTGGAGAGTTTGCTAGGGTGAAGCTGCTGTGTCTTAAGAAGTCTGCCAGCTGAGCTTTGCTTGTTTTCAAGCTAATAGGCTGTGGTGGGACGTGACCTGTGAAGGCAGCCTTGGCCAGGGTTATATTGAAGATGCGAGGCACCTCCAGAGACCTGGGGGTGCAAAGGGAAGGGATCTCCTGGGATTGCTGGAGAAAGTCCTCTGGCCTGCTTTGCTGTGCAGAAGAGCAGATATCTGTCAAGTGCATCAGCTGTTATGCAAGTTTGGTTTTGGTGTTGCTCTTTTGGTGATATTTCAAACGGCCGTGGGGCTTTAGGGGAAGGGAGGCATGTGCGGAGGAGATAGGGGTGGTAGGGGAAGCACGTGCGCGATAACGTTGCCATGGGAAGCATCTTATATGCTGTGTCTGTGGGGAAAGGGGGGTGATGGTGGAAACCAGCAGGTTTTTCTTGCTGTGTTGCCGCTGGGGTTGATGTGCCTCTGGCTACACGTGACTTGGAGTCGGTGGAAAGTCATCCTGCGAGTCCCATGCCTGTGCTCTCTATATATAGATTTGCCATACACAGGGTGCTTGCTAAAGCCACAGTGGGGTAGGGAGGAAGAAATTGCACGAGATGGAGGATTTCCCCTTCCTTCTCCACCCAGATCTTGGGATACCCTGTACCATCCAGCTGAGAGTTATCAACTTCCCCAAATAACTTCATGCCCATAGGGGACTTGGCAAGAGGTTCCTTTGCTGAAACGACCGACTGGCTCTCTGCTATTTGGGTTGTGCTGGGCGACGTCTCCCTGCTTCTGCTGGGTTTGCTGGCCGTCGGCCACGTCGTGGGGCCGATGCAATGCAGCAGAGCTTAAAAGACAAGCGCCTGTCAGAGGAAAAACTGCCTGGTATCTTTTTTCAGTTTGGTCTCGGGTTGCTTGGAGCTCGTGGTCTGGTAACCTGAGGATGCGAGATCTCCCGTATCTGTCCATCAAGAGCTCGGTGCAAGCGGCCGTATTGATGTAGGAGGCTTTGCAGGGCAAGTTTCAGCGCGTCAGCAAATTTACAAGCATCTCGCTGAAAACAAAAGTGTATCAGGTGGCTTCTGGCCTCAAAACTGCCTCCCTTCTGTGCTGCAGAAAATATAAAATTGACTGCAGGAAATATGGAAGTTTTTGTAGGTTTTTGGTTGTTTTTTTAAATTTTTTTTATTAGAAAAGGTGATTCAGTTCAGGCTGGTCACCTATAGGCTTCCTATGGCCATGTTGAAGGGACACAAGGCAAAAACCACAGTAGCCTTAGAAATGTATATTGGTTTCTCTGGGTGTAACCTCCTTCCTGCTGTGTAAGCAGGGGAGCGCGGCACGAACACCAGCAGTGCCAGCGCGTCCCTGGTCTGGGAGAAACCTCTAAGCAAGCAAATACACATGAAACACCTTCAAAAAGGTGAGGTCTGGGGGTAGGAGGACCTCCACGCTGCTGAAACTCAACTAGCTTTTGGGCTGAGCATCCCGCTGAAAGCATGGAGAGTGGGAAGAAAATGAAAAAAAAAAATAGCCCCTTTATGCAGTTAGCTGCAGCCGCCTGGGCTTGTTGCTGGCAGAAAGTAGGACACTCCTGCTGGGTTTTCTTCTCTGGAAAGGCTAAACTTGGCTGTGTGTGGGTGGAAGCAGCCTGCATGGCAATGCGTGTGAGTCTCCCCATCCCTTGCCCTTGCTCAGCAAGCTCTGCTGCTGCGGGGCCGGAGAGCTGCTGGGAAGAGCTCCGTGTCCGGCTGCTCGGGGGTGTTTGCCCAGAAGGGTTTAAGCCCAGGCTTGCAAAGGTGATTACGCATTCAGCTCACTGAGATGTGTAGGAATTAAAACCTAAATATCTCTGCTGTTCAGGCTGTTGCGGAGTATCCGAGGTCTTGGGTTGCTCACCAGGCTTGGGGCTTTGTCGAGGTGGTTGTGGGGTTGGTGGAAGGGGAGCTGGGAGGTTTTGGAAGAGGAGGAGGAGGGTATCCTGGTGTGTTTGCGGAGATCGAGCAACTCATGGCCTGGCTGTGTGTCTGAGTCAGGCGTGGGGACGCGGAGCAAGCGATGGCTGCTGGTGTTGGGGGTTAAATTGGAGTTGGGCAATTTAATGTGAATTAAGTTAAAGGAGGCAGGAGAGCAGAGAAACCACTGAGCCCTGGAGCATCTTTGGGCTGGGTGATGCTTGTGCTCCTCGATGGGAGGCTGTGGTCCACTCTTGCCGGGCTCCTGGATTTCCCCTGCATCTCTGTTCCCCAAATTGGGACTTTCCTGGTGCCCTGTGCCAAGGAATGTGGCTTCACAGCCTCCCTCGTCAAAAGCCTCGGTGGGAGGGGAGCGCAGGCAGCGGCCACGGGCAGCTCCGGTGCAGACCCCTCTCTGCATGGGCAGGGGGTCACTGCCCCAGGGTTGTGACCCTGATCGGGGTCCCCAAGGCAATGGGCTGGCCCAAATGAGACCGTAAAGTCCAAAAATGTGATTTGGAGTGAGACCTTCCAAGGGAAGAGCACGGTGCTAGGGCATGGGCTAGCAAGTCCCCGGGGCTGCAGCCCTGCCTGGAGTTTGCGTGGAGGTGAGGTGTCACTTACTCCTTCTCCTGGTCCTTAGTCTCCATTTTTGTGGAAGTAAACACAGCTTTTAATACCCTCCAAATCCCTTGGATCTGCTTCAAAAGATATTTCCCTGCTGATACTAATCCTGCAGCGGTCAAGAAACAGGGCTGCCTTGTCTGATTTCTCCTGAGCTGCAGGAAGGGGGGTTATTAGTCCGCTCCTGCGTCTCTCCTGACCTTTGGGGTGAATCGGGATCGGGAAGAACTTCGTGCAGCCACGTGTTTTGGCCTCCCACATGTTGCTGCTGCCGTGGTCCTTCTGCCAAGCCCTTGCTTGTAGTCTGAGCCCGCCTTAGGAAGGTTTCCAATGATGCCCAAATCTGGCTGCAGGTGGAGTGTCCCGTTCTGTAGCCAAGATGTGGCTGTCCGTGTCCATCCTGTGTGTCCTGGTGGCCTTCGCCAATGCTCGCAGCGTTCCTTACTTCCCTCCTCTCTCCACGGACTTGGTCAACCACATAAACAAGCTCAACACCACCTGGAAGGTGAGTACCGGCTTGGTTTTTGGGGTGGTTCTTTGGATGCATTGTTCAACGGTTGCTTTGTGGGACTCAATAGCTGAGCTTTGGAAGTCTCACCATGGCGGTTGCATCAAACCAGCCTTGGTCCCAGTTGACTTCTCCAGTGAGTTGATGCTGTCAGGGATTTCTGCGGTGACAGTGACTGTGGAGCTGCTCCTCTTTGGAGCAGAGCGCTGACACATTTGTAGAGTAGGAGCAATGCTAAGAGGAGGAAACTCAGTGGGAGGCTGGAAACAAGCAGCAGGTGCCAAGCTGTGTTGGTGACCTGGCCCAACCCTCCTTGGCCAGGCTGCCGTGGCCAAAGCCTAGAGATGGACCTTAGCTTACTGGTCATGATGCACTGATCCTGGAAGGAGCTGTGTTCTGTGCCTGTAGGTAGCTTGGCTCTTGGCCCCCGGGTTTTATAGCAAGTGTCAGTCACTGGTTGGGTTTGAGGGAGATCTGGAGCACCAGGTTGGTCCTAGCAATGCACTTGATGGCTCTGAAGAGTCAGGTCCCATTTCTCTGTGTCTCCTCGCAGGCAGGGCACAACTTCTACCACGCTGACATGAGCTATGTGAAGAAACTCTGTGGTACCTTCCTGGGTGGGCCCAGGCTCCCCGAGAGGTAAGTGCTGGGAGAAGTTGTTGAGGGCCCTGTAAAAGCTTGTGTGGATGCTCCTGGTGTGTCTGGAGTGGGTGAGGGTCTCTCCGGGCAGACTGTGAGTGGGGTTTCCCTGGGTGCAGCTTGGTGGACATCTCGCGTGGAGTTAGGCACAGAAGCATGCGTGGGAGGGGCACATCCATCCTCTGTCCTGTCAAATACTTGACTGATCAAGTAATTTGTACTCCTTGAAACTTAAAACACTGGAGGAGCTGCTGACCTGGTCTGAGGACTTCAGAAGCGTTTGTTCTCCGTCAGTAAGCAAACAACAAAAGCCCTCGTCTTCCAGGTCACCTTCAGAGGAGGCTGGAGAGTCCTGTGCACCCACTTCTGTTACGCTGGTGTTCCTAAAACAGGACTTTCCTCTTCTCATTTGCAGGGTAGATTTTGCTGCAGACATGGAGCTGCCCGATAACTTCGACTCAAGGACGCAGTGGCCTAACTGTCCTACCATCAGTGAGATAAGAGACCAGGGCTCTTGTGGCTCTTGCTGGGTAAGAGCATGGGCGGTTTAAGGTCGTGGGTTGTGTCGATACAGACTTTTCTGGAAAAAAAAACATGCTGTTGAATTTGCAACTGAACAGCATAAATGGGGGGGACACGGGGGATCTTGCAGTGTCTGAGCTTCTTGGTGGGCTTCTCCCAGCCAGGCTCGTGCTTGCTGCACTCATTGCCAGAAGATTGCCTGGTTTCTCTCCCATGACCAGCTCTAATGATCTTCCCTTGGGTTTTTGGGGCTGCCCGCAGGCTTTTGGTGCCGTAGAAGCGATTTCAGACAGAATCTGCGTTCACACAAACGCCAAGGTGAGCGTGGAGGTCTCGGCGGAGGACTTGCTGTCGTGCTGCGGCTTCGAGTGCGGCATGGGGTGAGCTGCTCTTGGTTCTTGTGCACTTCAGAGGTGGGTGGGAGGAGCAGGGACTCAACCGAAGATGCTGATTGTTTCAACCATGTCTTCCTAATGAGCAGGAAGCCCCACCAGTGGTTTGTACTGTTGATGCTGGAATTAGGTGGGAACTTAAAGCTGATCGCATGGACTGAAAGTCCCTCTGGGTCACATCCTGCCCCAGCAGTAGTGGATGATGATGGCTGGTGGAGGGAGGGCAAGCACATAACGATGCTTTCCCATCCAGCGTTGGCAGCCACCTCAGGCAAAGGAAGGAACTTTCAGTAGCCCCAAAGCCTTGGTTTTCAGGCACAAACCTTTTGCCTGTGGCTTTTGCAGTTGTTGAGAGCAGGGTGGGGAGTTGGGTCTCCAAGTTGTGTGGCTTCTGCTGCTCCTGGCAGCAGAGGCTGACCAGGGACCAGGTGAGGAGGCACCACCGCTTTGGGATTTGGAGGCATGGGTGCTCTTAGCTCCTTCTTGCCCTGAGGCTTTGGTGTCTCAAGGCCTCAAAATCCTTGAGAAGGCAGGGATAAAAGGTTCAACATGCTGAAAGCTTCCCTTCAGCCATCCCAAGCCAGCTCCCTTTCCCTCACCTCCTCTAAAAGGGGGATGGCTCTGAGCAGGCTGGAGCTGGAACTGCTGCCTTGTTCTCCAGGTGCAACGGTGGTTACCCCTCTGGCGCATGGAGGTACTGGACAGAGAGGGGCCTCGTGTCTGGGGGTCTCTACGATTCCCATGTGGGTAAGTCCTGGCAGGTACCCTTGTGAATGCAAAGAGAAGCATCTCTGCTCGGTTACAGGTTCATGTCCTTCAGGGTGCTTCTTTTCTGGTCTGCATCCTTGTGGCTGCTCCCTCCTTGGACTCTGGGCTGAAACACCTCTGTTATCCCAGCTGCCTGCTCCTGACCCTGTGGCTGCTTCTGGTCACCCCTTTGGGACGAGGGTCCCTGAGCAGCACCTAGTGACAGGAGCCTCATCCAGGAAGGGAGCACTGTAGCCAGACTTAACAAACCCCATGAGGCTCCTGCTTCTGTAG